GTTCACCTGGGTGAATATATGCACTTGGGAGGATTGGTTGTCCGCTTTTTATCCTTTTATTAATTAAACCGCCCATTTTACCCCCCCCCCCCCCGGCTACTGCATTGCATCTACCGTATTAAATCGGCCATGCAATCCCGCAGAGCAGCGCCACACTCCCCTATATGCACCGACCTCAATTCCAAATCCATTCGACCCTCCAAATCCAGTAACTGACGACGACCAACCGCCATACTCTAGTACCACCACTTTATTAATCCCCCGGCAGCCTTAACCTACACTGCCTTGCACTAGAAACCCAGGACGCAACCCAAGGACCCCACCCCACAATTCACACGGCAGGTACTGGAACCGCCGTTACCAGTCATTCCCGTCACACCTGTACGAGCACCATCATAATACCGGGTTATCGGAGCGCACCTCACCTACCCAATGTGCCCGAAAAGCGGTATTGCTGACGTGACCTGAAGTTGGAATACCAGGTAATGCGATGTACCACCAGCCAATTACCTGGGATAGCGGGGTAGCGGCTAGATGCATGTGTGTCCCACAAGCCCAGGCCGAGCAATGCGTCTAGGGTTCATAAATGACGCAGCGTGTGGAAGATGAACATCGTAAGCTTAGTTAGGCTAGGCTCGGGGGCCGGTGGGAGTGAGATAAGTGCGAAGGCGGAAGAGGCAGAGTGTATGTCTCGGGACCTTCCCGATATCTCCTGCATTGGTGGTGGCCGGTGATCGGATCATGCGGGCTTCACCGGAGATTATATGCGAGGGGACGGAATGTAAGGAGTGCTGTGCCGTTTGATGGTAATCCGCTCGAAGCGCGCGCGGAGAAACAAAGTTTAACTTTAGGTCTGCTATTGGTGGTTGGGTCACTCAACATTTGGGGTTCCCTCAGCGCGTTGATTTAGTCGTTGCCCTGCCTTATGGAGTTCTGTGACTTGTGGGTGATGCTGTCGGTAGGAGGTGATATCGTATGAAGCGCAATAGTCAATCTGCGGTTGCCGATCGTGACAAGCGGAGGTTTTCGTGGGTGAAACAATAAAACGGGCTTGGCGAAAAATAAACCTAACCCTCTAGTCGATCAACACCTTCCATATGATTCTAGAATTTGCCCTACAGAATGTGTGATACGGTGCGTTCGCACAGTACCACCGTCGATTCGAAGCCTTGTCCCGTCCTTGTCGGAAACACTCAGGCCAGTTCAAGCATCTTGACTGAGGCTATTATATTAAAAAAAAAAATTACATGCATTTCATACTAGGTCTGGCTCGCACATGTCCTAGGAGTGCAGAAGTTGACAGAGCTGTCATAGGAGGATGGTCTGAACACCTGAGCAATTGTTGGCTCTCGATTTCATGGCCTTGTGGCCCTCACGATTGCTTCCCGACCTTACAGCGCCTGGAACGAATGTGTTGTTTTGGGAAATCATCACGAAAACGTCGCCGGAGGGAGGTGGCGGGATGAGAGTCGCCACCGCCTTTGTAAGCCGAGATGGTGCGGTTAAAATATGAAGACCATCCTGGGAAATTAGGAAACCCGCAACTCCGATCGGGCTGGGTTAGTCTTCGCGGTTCTAGATTGGGGGAGGGGCAAAGGCGTTGCTGCCGGCCGGTTTGATCGTTGGGGGAGTTCTACTCGAGCACATCCGAAATGCCGGGCGTTGTGGGGCTGACGGGGGATGACGAACAGTTGCCATCGGCCGAAGGCTTTCTAGGAAAGACTGGTCCTTCGTAGTGGACGTGGTGCTGTGAGTGGCTTCGTCCTGTCAGTATTGTGATGCTGAGGGGATGCCGGGTCAGAGAGGTTGTCAAGTTCCACCAAAGTGATCCCTTAGCCAATGGAAAACCCGACCGCACACCACACACCTCCCCTACCCCGATCTGGTTGATGTTGTGATACCCTCGCGCATTACATGAGAGCGGGAAGCCCCAAGATAAAGCTCTCAATTATCAGCAGGGAATATCCTCGCTCAATGAGATGCGCTACCTCCTCACTTCTCCTCACTCCAGCTTTCGGAATCACCGCACCATCAACCCTAGAAAAGTTGTTTCTATCATAGCGAACAACTATTGGCTCTACCTCGCCTCCCACATTTCCTGTTAGCCCAATCAATTGCATCTTAGTACTCAGGCGCATACCCCCCCCCCGGTACCTTATAAACGAAGATGCGTTCGGGAGCTCCGTTAGTTTATCCTGGGGGA